CTTCCACCTCAGCCCTGACACCCCCAAAGCCGGAGCCCCCTCGGCCACCCCAAAGCTCCTCCTCGGCCCCACCCCGGAGCCCACACGCCAGTCACATGATCTCAGGTCGCAGCATCAACAATTTTCTTTAGCTGGGTCATGAGAAAAAAAAAAGTGACAATCCCTGCCAGGGCTGGCTTGAGAAAATTCTCGAGCCTGTTTCCTGCCTGCGCTGTAGCCAGCGCGGCTGCCCCGGGCCTCCACTTCCCCCACACTCCCGCTCAAACCCGGCGGCCCCGTTTAAATAAGAGGAGGTGAAGGATGGCGGGAAGCAAAGCACGTGCAGCACGGTGTGGGTCCGCCTGGTGCGATCGGAAGCAGCCACGGCCTGCTCCATGCCGCCCCCCCACCCGCCGGAAAAGAGACTGTTGCAAGAACTCCCAGATTAGCCATGTTCATTTCAGCAGCAGTGTTACGAAAGATGCTCCCTGGGCCCAGCCTGCAGCCCTGTGGCGGGGACGCACCCGGCACTCAGGCCTGGCGCCAGCGAGCGTTAAAAACCAATCGGCCATCACCCGCACAGATGAAAGGCGAGAGCTCGGGTGTGTGTGTGTGTGTGTGTGTGTGTGTGGTCTCTCGTGAACAATCGACACACTCCTGCCATGCAACTGCAGTGTATGCAACAGTCCCAGGACTTCCTGTCTGGAGAGCTCAGAAACACGCTTTCCTCACTTCCCTTTTGTGAAAGCTGCACTCTGCTCCGCAAAGCCGGCTGCCTCTCCCCACTCCAACCCCGACCCCCGTTACCCGCTCCGTCAGCCTAACACTGACATGCTCCTTGGGAGCCTTGGGGTGTGGACACACCTCTCGGGTTTTCTTCCTCGCTCTCCGGGAAGATACCGCGCTGAGGGAGAGGGACCCACTAGCCCATCTATTCAGCAGTGAACCGTGCTGGGGGGCTCCTCTGCCTCTGTCCCCACGGCCCTCGGCACCCGTATTTGCCATGTAGCTTGATCTTTGCCGTGACAGTGCCCTGGATTCAGGGGCGGCCCGTGAGTATAGGCCGACTTGGCCGTCGCCTAGGGCGCCACCTTCAATGGGGCGCCCGGGGTGCCCAATGATGACGTCACGCCATTGAGGGCCGTGCAGGTGGGGGCGCCGATCGTGCGTTCCACTTGGGGCACCAGCTGCCGCAGCCGGCCTCTAGCCGCCCCTTCCTGGATTGAGTGTTCAGAGCTCAACACTTGCCTGCTTAGGAGCATGCTCGTCTAGATGTCTAGATGTCCACGTGTCTCCTATAGGTGTTAGACACGTGCATCTGTCTTTGTCCGTCCGTCTGCAAACCTGTTTGTTCAAGAACTCCCTCCTAAACGGTAAGTGCGAGGATCA